CACCCATCTTGAGGAGTTTGCCCCCTCACATATACTAATGTGCCACAAACAGGACTTTAATATCACCAACCATTCCCATGTTATTACGGTGTATCCATATAAATGTCCCACCCTGTAGATCACTTCATTTTCATTAATACATTTAGCTGGCCTGTGGGCTACACTTTGAGAACCTATAATCTACTGGCAGTGCAGATATGAAGCATTCAGCTCCATATATGGAAAGATTCCAGTGCTGTTGTGTGCAAGTCATTCAATAAATGAATACAAAAGGTCAAAAAGTTCATATTAAACACAGCTGCTGTTTAGTTCCATAGACAACATACAAAACATTTATAGCTCAAGTGGGCAGTAGGTTCCTTTTTACATAGTTGTACACACTGTTTTTGAGACCAGAGTCCCAGCCTGCGGGACATCTGAAACAATGCAACTTTAAGGCACTGCCACAACTAAGAAAAAGTATAAAAAAGGGAACTGACTGAGTGAAGGCATGTGATTGGATATTAGCCTACCTATGATAACATGCATGCCAAGGCTTGCCAGGTGTCTTGCTGTTTCAAAACCAATTCCTCTGGTACCCCCAGTCACAATGGCAACCCTTCCATTTTGCTTGGGTAAGACTGTGTAGGAGGAGAGAGGGGACCACATAAGAACATTACACAATCTTTCATGTAAACTCTGGCGAGGTTCAGTAACGATGAGGTTTAAGACAATGCTGGGACAAAAGTCTTCTGTGACTGATTTATTAACAGTCATCTGTAAATATGCAGCAGCAACACAGCATTCGAAGAATCAACAGAACAGAATTACAGTGAGTGCAGATACGTCTATACACACTTTTGTAAGTCTGGTGATTTACAAGAAACTTTTTCTATAGTTGCTCAGCTGGTTTTGTATAGAAACATATCTGAAGACGATGCTATTTGAAGCAAATTAATTATGAATGCAATGACATGTCATTCTACTTGACTGCCACTGGGAAACACAATGACCAATTACCCAGGCCAGTGACGGACATTTTTTTAAATAGTGCAATGAAGAGCATGAAATGTGGATTTCTTAGATCAATTTTCACAGAACCTTTCTTGTAGCGCTCTTTAAGAAATAAATACCTGTTAATCTGCTTTGTTTTGCTTTCAACCCAGGAAAACAGCAGGAATATATGAAACCTATGAAATACACCGCTCCAGAACAGAAATCCGTTTGTATGACTGCATTGCATTTTCAAATATTGAACATTGTTCCCATGCAAAGTGAAGACATCAAGCAGCCAGACAAGCAAAACCTTTACTCACATTTATTATCAGTCAGTTCTGCAATATGTGGGCAAGTATTTACAAAGTACATAGCCTGAATGACATTTGAGGGGGAAAAAGGACAACTAAACAGAGTATACTAGGAAGTCACAACAACTGAGGTAAGATGCGCCCAACTACTATCAAAGGCAGGTTCCTGTAAGTCTGCCAAGGTATTCGTCCCCCAACATACAAACCGGAAGATTTTCACATGGTTAATGAGTTTAAAATATTCTATTTTAATCTTCTCCTAACCATTACAATGTAGTTTTGGTACATAAATCTCAACAGCAACTGAAAATTAAATTTAAACAGCAAATAAAACATTGTTGTTTCAGACTGTGTAAACTGATCACCCTCGTGGTATTTCTTAGAGATATTTATGAACCAATAATTCACCGAGGTTTCAAACAGCGCAGTAAATTACACGTTTCCTTATCACATAATATCGTGTTGAAATGTATGAAGTTCAAAGAGATATAATTAATCGATCTCTGGCTTCCAACATTGGCTCGTGGTACATGCAGTGTCACTTCACTGGTGGGAAAGGAGTCTGATCCTAAGCAAGCGAGTGATGGCGACTAGATCGAGTTAGGCTCACCTCAGTGCACAGCTTGGGCACTGGAACCAGTTTCCTGTACTCTGTTCCACTCTGGACTTACTCTAATTGAAAAGAGGCTGGCAGAGTGTGTTTGTACCCCTTACTGTGGAATTTCCATGCCCACATGGGCAGCAAATGTTTTACCTGGAGAGGTGTGTTTCTGCACTACGTTCCCCACCGAGATGTGTACAGGTGAGACCATCAAGCAAGACTTTGGGAATGGCCACAAAGTGATTCGGGAAAACTGCCGAATGACTCACGAGAGGGAATCGGAGCTAAACTCACTCTACATAGTGGTAGTGAGATGCTACTAGCCTCAACACTTTGACCATCTCCTCGACGGTCTTCCACAGTTCATCAGGTACTGTTCGTGGCTGAGTGTGAAGCAGTGGGAATGATAGACAGCATCTCCAAGTCTAGAAAAGGGTGAAGTGCCCACTTCAGTTTAAGTATCTCAGAAGTGAGGGGAGAGTGGAGGGTGACATTTTACAGTGAAAAGATAGCAGAGCTAAAACAATGCAATTGATTCCCCCTTTGATCAGTCAATCAATCAATAGACTCTGTGTTGAGCCACTGTTTCTACACATCAAAAGGAGTCAGTTGAGGTGGTTCAGAAATCTGATTCCTAGGTGAGGTGTTTCGGGTATGTCCTACTGGGACGAAACCTCCGGGCAGACCCAGGACTCACTGGAGAGATTATATCCCTCATTTAGCTTGGAAACAACTTGGTGCCCCACCCAGAATAAGCCATTAGAGGATTCTGGGTTGATGGAAGTCTGAGATTCTCTGTTCAGGCTAAGACCACTGCCTGCAAAACTCAAACCAAGAAAGCAAAGAAAGAAACAAATCAAACAAAAAACAAACAAAAACAATAACAATGGATACATGCATGTTCCCATATAGCTCTTAATACCCTCTTGACTTGGCGTGGCACTTGCCAGATTAATTTGCATTTAAACGCAACAGGTGTGCACAGATGAGGGGAAAAAATAGGCTGTGGATTTTAGGTTTTGTGACCCATCTAATGGAAAAATCCTGAATACCTAGCCTTCCAGTATTCCACTCTAATCACCCAAAGCTGAGGCAAGTATGAGTTGTAATTCCCAAAAGTTGATTCTGTTCATCTGGATGTAGTGATTTCAGTGGGGGAAACGTTTTGTCATAATCCAGGTGACGTCTTCAGTCTCAGCTGACTGCTGGTTTCCAATCTTATAAACAGTACATTTGCACAATGACTGAAACCAGCCCACTGAAGGAACAATGGGCTGGCAGGTCAGTTCCTTGAACATTAATATGCAAATTGTCATGACCATTGATCAACAACCACTGACCAATGGCCATGAGTCCCATTCACAGAGAGTTGGGGAATGGCTGCAATCACAGCATTGTAAGATGGTGACAGATGTACCCTTAGGCCCCTCCTCCATTCAGAGATGGTCTTTCCCACCTCTGCTCCAGCTGATCCAGGTCCAGGTCCGGAAGCTCCAGCCGATCCAGGAGAGAAACACAACCGCTGACTAAGCAAAAACCTGTAGCGATCCTGTACGTGCCAGGAGTATCAGAACAGTTGAGACGCATTTTTTCTAAACACCGGGTCTCTGTGGCTTTTAAACCCCAAAACATGCTGCAACAAAAACTGGTCCACCCCAAGGATCGGGTCCCCGACACAAACAGAGTCCCATAGTGTATGCTGTTAAGTGCAGGAGGATTGCCAGGATTTATACATCGGGGAAACCAAACAACCTCTGGCTAAGAGGATGGCGCAACACAGAAGAGCCACCTTGTCAGGCCAGGACTCTGAGGATGTAACATCCTGGACAGGGAGGAACGCTGGTTTGAGGGCGGAGTCAAGGAGGCCATTTACGTGAAAAGGGAAAGACCATCTCTGAATCGAGGAGGGGGCCTAAGGGTACATCTGTCACCATCTTACAATGCTGTGTAAGATGGTTCACAGAGAGTTGCAACCATTCCCCAACTCTCTGTGAATGGTACTCATGGCCATTGATCAGTGGGCTTTGATTTGCATATTTGCATATTAATGATCAAGGAAATGACCTCCCAGCCCAGTGTTCATTCAGTGGGTTGGTTTCAGTCTTTATGCAAGTGTTCTGTTTATAAGATTGGGGAAACCTGCAGTCAGCTGAGACTGAAGAAGTCACCTGGATGAGTGACGAAACGTTTCTCCGACTAAAAATGTCCAGATGAACAGAATCAGCCTTTTGGGATTTACTTACCTGGCCGACTGAGCATGCATCAAGACATGAGTTGTAATTTAAAAAACAAAACAAACAACAGCTGATACACATTTATAATAAAGACAAAACACAATATTGCTACATAAACGATAAATCTTTTTTTCTTCTGTAACCTTCCACTTCATTTTAATACAATAGAGTTTCTGTGCAGAGTTTGAATGCATAAGGACATCTGCTCCGTAAAGGAGAGATGTGTTTACAGCAGTTAACTTAAAAGCTAATGTGTCCCATATGTTATAAAGGCTGAAAAAGTTGTCCCTTTATGCCACCAGTGGCTTTTCAGCCTTTAGAACCTCTGTCAAGTAAACACACAAAGAATACAGATAGCAAAGTAAATAAAGTTCTTTAAAACCTCAGTCACTTTAGTGCTGAGCCAAACTAGAGTTGGTTTCCAAAACAGTTTCAAATTCATCCTCACAGGGTTCAGGCTCATAGTAGCTCCGAGAGTTCTCATACAGGAAAACCTGCATATCCACTAGAGCTAAAGGTATGCGGTTTCTTTTCCCAGAAAGAAAAGTACCTGATGAGCTGAACAACCTATGACAAGGAACACTTGTGGCAGGAACGCACCAATACTTCTGGAGCACCTTAGGAAGTGTGGGGAACAAAGGTGCATGGTTCGACCACCAAAGCAAAGGGTCTTCATTCAGACCTAGAACCCTCTGTGACTTGTAGTTGCTCAGCTCCTCTACTACTTGAGCATGTAGCTCCTCCTGGCTCTGGTCTGCATCTGACTGGCAAAATATGGCAGCCAGAGGGTTGTCTTGAACTGAAGTGCTGGCAGAAGATTCACCCGATAGTCCCTGTTTTTTGCAAGGTGGCTCATCAGACACCAAAGAAAAATCATCAAGGCACGGTCGCTCCGAAATCTGCTTCTCCAGGATTGCTTTGGCCTCTTCGATAATAATACTCTCAACTTTGGAGCGTTCTTGGGTGGAAAGAAAAGGCAGTTTCTTATAACGAGGATCCAAAAATGTAGCAATGTTGAGGAATGTTGCGATCTCTTGGGATAACTGTGAATTCTGTGAATATGTGCTTGACAAGACCTTGGAGATGATCTCTTTGCTCATGCTGATCTCTTTGAGATCCCCTTCCTTAATTTTGAGGGTGGTGTTCAGCAGCATATGAAGGACAGGTCTCACCATGCTAATGGTTGGATACTTACAAGAAGTGATCATGTTTGCCACAACTTTAAAGGGCTGGAGGACTTCAATCAAGCCCTCCAACAAGGCCCAGTCAGAACCACTGAAGGTGAAATGATGGCTACTAGAACTCTCTACAAGTGTCATACTTATAACAGCCTGTTGCTCTTTCAGTCTTTGTAGCATTGCCAATGTACCAAACCATGACCTGTCCTGGTCTGCGATGAGTGTACACTGAGCAAGGCCGTGTTGCTTCTGCTTTTCTGTATACATTGCAGATTCTCTATAATGATCGACAAGCTTGCGGCAGCATCCCAAAAAGCCACTCACTCGTGGCAGCTGGAAGGCTTCAGCCATTGCATGATTGATTGTGTGCCCAAGGCAGGGCATTTCTACTGTCAGATCCAGGAGGGAGCATGCTTTCACCACATCCACCGAACCATCTGTGGTAGCCCCAATGACTTTATGAGTTATCCCCCACTTCACAAAGGCTTCATACATGGCTCTGGTGATATTCTCAGCTTTGTTGTCCTCTTGTACTTCAAAGGTTTTAAGGCATTTGTTGGTCACCGAGAAGCCAGATGCACTGTTGTAATTGATCGAATGCACAAAAAGTGAAATATATGTTCTGTTTTGTGTTTGGCTTTGCCACAGATCTGTAGCAATGCCACAATTCATAACTCCACTAAGCTCATTAAAGACCACATTTTGGGTACGGCAGTACATTTCAGGAACCATTTTGCCTGCGAGGTCACTTTTGCTTGGAGGAGAATATCCAGGGTCGACAATACCGATTAAACTCTTGAACGTAGGCTCTTCAACTGTACATACAGGATATAACCCCTCACAAATGAACTTGATAATAGCTACTGTCAAATCATTGTGTCGTTTGTTTTCAGAGTCTAAGCTCTGCCTTGAATAGGTTTCCTGGGACTGCTGCTGTGAAACTGTAGGCTCAGTCTTTATCCGAGAAAACGCCGTAGCAAAAGCTTCACGCATCTGATCTGTGTTGCTTTTCACAAACTCGCTGAACTCTATGGGATGGTTCTTTTCAAGGTGGTATGACAAGTTTGAGGTGTTTCCAGAGTAGGCAATTTGGCTCATACATACACGACAGTAAATCCTTTTCCAGTGTAATATGCAGCCATCTGCATCTGTGTCAAAGCCAAAGTACTTCCACACTTTGCTTTTGGCACGTGGGTGTGCGACCAGATTGAGGCCTGAGCACGAAGGTCCTGAACTTTTACCCTCCATTGGCTCCTTAGGTAAAAAGTCCATCAGGGTGATGCTCTTATCGAGAACCTAACAAGAACAGTGAAATAAACATTTGATTTTGGTGATAAAAACATTTTAAGTGTTTGAGAACTGGATTTTACAATCCTCCCAACAATTAACATGCAAATGAGCAGATAAAATATCTGGCTAAGATAGGAATTTGCATGATGGTTACCACTGATACTGAGGTTTGCACAAGTAACCCTAACACAACAACGCCACATGAGACACTACATGTACACTACGCAATCCTGCTCTCAAAAACTGACAGATTTAGCCTCTGAAGCTGGATTTAAGAAATAACTGTTTAAAAGAACATGTTTAGCACCATCTTGAGTTAGTATAAAATATCAGGTCACCAGGTTGGTTGGTTATTTGCAACTGATAGACCCACATTAGATTAAAAAAACTTGTTGCAGCCAGGAGTAATTAAAAAATACCCTTTGAACACATTTTTTAGTTTTAGTTTGTTTTCATTTTCGTCACTAGCTTACATAAACTAATAGAAGTCTGTTAACCACAACCAACCAACTCTGATGTCACATCCTGTACTGACACAGGATAGTGCTAAGCATGTTCTAAAACCTTTAAGCACTTATTCTTATTTAAGTGTTACAGCTATGTCGGTTTTTGACAGCACATCCTCCATAGTGTAAATTACACAGTGTTTCATGTCCACTTTAAACCTACCTTCATTAAGTCGATAATGTTGCTGCCCTTTTAGGTCGGCACCAGAAATATCAGTCAATTAAACAAATTACTCATATCTAAATCATTTACCACATAGGTGTCAAACTCTGGCCCACGGGCCAAATTTGGCCCGCGAAGTCATACCAAATTATTATTAGAGCTGGCCTACTGGTATTATACAGCTAATATATATATTGTTTAGTATTAAGCTTTGCTTGTTCCATATTCAGTTTTCCAGCAAAACGTGTTTGAGTCCATAAGAAAAGATTCATTCTTATATCTGGAGGAAGATTTATTTTCAATAAATATTAATGTTAGCCCGCGACTTTGTTCCAGTTTTGAATTTTGGCCCACTGTGTATCTGAGTTTGACACCCCTGGTTTACCACATCATTTAACTGCTGGTTTTACTACACTACGGTTCCACCCACAACTATTTGGCAGCCACATCGTATCTAACTCGAGACCAATAACAGCCAAGTGGAGCTGCAGTTCTCCAATATTTGGCTGTACAAAATAAGTCTCGGTCGTTGTGTCCTTGGGCAAGACACTTCACCTACTGCCTATTGCCAGAGGGGCCGATGGTGCGATATGGCAGCCTCGCCTCTGTCAGTCTGCCTCAGGGCAGCTGTGGCTACAACTGTAGCTGCCTCCACCAGTGTGTGAATGTGAGAGTGCATGAATAGTGGAATTGTAAAGCGCTTTGAAGGTCTCAAAAAGCGCTATATAAATGCAATCCATTATTATTATTATTAAATGTTTGTGAGTCAGAGTAATCAGACACAACCATTTAATTACAGGAACGACAAATTATAAACAGGCATATTAACATTAACCTTAAGGAATGAAGGCTACCGGTTGCAAATACTGCTAAAGCATGGCGCATTTAATTATGTGAAATGCTGTTCACATTCCTAAGTGGCACATGTGACGTGACACGGTTTTCACACGCTCTTCAAAAAACCCGAATCCTTCAACTACGTTCACATTCCTGGAACCAAATTTCCAGTTTGTGTAATGGTTGTTTATCCCTGCGTGAAAACGACTGCCACAGGTCGCGCTAATTATATAAACACACTTCAAACAAATTAAAGGGACACTTTTTAATCAGAGTACAGCACTGAGTCAATTAAACTTGATATGGTCAGTTAAGTAGCAGAAAGGATTGTCAATCAGCTTCAGCTGCTTTGGCATTATTGAAATTAATAACAGAAAAAATACTGTTTAACTTTGTGGCCTTCTATATACTTCCTCTTCTATACACTTCCTGTTGGTTACTGGGACACTTTGATTGCACTACTTTAGTACTGATGACTTTTTGTAAATTGAGCACAATATACACTGTTTTTTTCCATTTTTGCTATAGTTTATATATAAAAATAAATGCGTATCAAGAACAAAGTTATGAAAAGAAAATAATTAATTTCAGGTGGTTTGAAAGGATTTTGTGCAACCTTTTATTTATAAATTGAGGTTTACATCTAAAAAAAATGACTTTCAGTTTCTTTGTGGTTTTATTGCACTTTTTAGCAGTTTATTTAGTTACTCTGAACTAAAGTTACTAAAATTAGGATTAAAAAAAAAAATGTAATACTGATGTAGAACAAATTCCATCCATCCATTCGCTTCCGCTGGGAGGAAGCCGGAGTACCCGGGGAGAACCCACGCAAACACGGGGAGAACATGCAAACTCCACACAGAAAGGCCTGATGGTGGAATTGAACTCAGGACCTTCTTGCTGTGCGGCAACAGTGCTAACCACCGGGCCACCCATTTAGAATAAATTGAAATGCTTAAAAAACAATTTCCGTATCAATAAATACTGGAGTAACATTTTTTTCTTGACAATCCTACTGTGTACATGTCTAAAGCCCGGCCTCCAACCTGAGCGGTCTCTCAGATAAACTCGTCTCTAACCCAGCTCCTCCTGGTTCGTTCCAACAAAAGCACACATGATTAAAGATGATTGATTTATTGCAAATATCCAACAAATCTTGATTCGTCACCAGTAACACTGATCATTGCTACTGTACTGCTCATTAAATCAAAGGCCAATCAGTTTTGATCTTTGATCTAAAGCTGCTGGATATTCCCAAAAAGAGGAATGCAGCAAATCTGTCATTAGTCTCACACTCGGTGAGATTATGTGGGTATAAAACCCAAATCTGCAGAAACACTTCCCTCTTTGTCTGACAGTGTAATGCATTAGTGACTTTCCACTCTATGGTCACATGCTTAATTCACTAAAATTAAATGAGTAACACTGCTCCTTTGATAGATGGGTTTTCAAACACCTTTGGCTGTAACTCCACCTCTCTACATACTTTTGCTATGATTTTGAAAAAACAAATAAAAACAAATAAAAACAAACATTTTCTGGCGATGAGAAGTTCACCTGGAAAACCACCTCAGTGTAGGGAATGGAAAAATGAAACACTGGGTTAGATCATGGTGAAGCCAGCTGTGTAAGTCCACTATGGAGCAGCAGTGGTCACACATGGCAGCTGATCACAGGTACACAAAGATCTGCTGGAGCTCACAGCACGAATCACTGGGATGCTTTCAGATATGTTAAAGTACTACAGCTGATGTTCCCCTGGAACTTTAACCCACTTTAACCCACTTTAACCCAGGAGTTCTGTCTGGGTTAAAAATAGAAGTTTGGATTCACATATACTATTATTTTATGACATGTTATATAGAGGTGCAACGGATCACGGTTGATCCGTAATCCCAACCGATCCCACTCCACGGTTCGGCACGCACGTGGTCCGAAGATTCGAAAAAGAAGGAAAAAAGTATGTGTATGGTGGTGTGGTGGGTCTGTCAAGCCATAGTTCTGGCCCGCGCTAGCGTCCAAGTGGAGGAGCAGAGGAGTTTAAGCAGCCCTTTGCTGCCCAGCCCGACCGACTAAAGCTATTACAGAAGCTGTTGGGGTGTTTAGCTGCAGACGGGAGACCGTATGCTGTGTGCAAGACAAGGTTTAAACTGTGATGGACGTGCTTGAGCCACGCTATGATATCCCGTTTGTGTCCACTTTAGTGGCAAGATCGTTCATATATATCGTATAATTTTATATATAAAGCGCCAAATCACAACAACAGTAATAGAATTGAGTGGTAGATACAAAGACTGTATGGACCTATATTGTACCATCGTTTTTTTTAATAATTGCGTGGAATGAGTCTAGAGCTGAATGTTTTTAAACAGGCAAAAATAATTCAATAAGTAAATTTTTGTCTTTTTTCTTTTTTTGCTGATCCGTAAAATTGATCGGATCCATGACTTAAAACTGTTAACAATCCGAACCGTGAGATTTTTGATCCGTTGCACCACTAATGTTATATAAATATAGTTTACTTCGGACTAAAATAGCTGGTAAAACATGCTTCAGAGAGCCACTTATTACCTCTGTCACCGTTTTAATGGACCCAGGCTGTTACAGCTCCACAGATTGTTCTGTGTGTTTGTAAAGACAAAGCGGGTCTCATGTCACACCTTTACTATAGTGCCTGTGAGCTCAGTGAGTATGAAGCTTGTCCCTGGGGACATTTTAATGCACGTCAATAGAAAACGCATAGAAACGTGCTTGTAAAGGTCAGTGCATTCACCATCACAGGAAGTGTACAAACATGAATCAGTGTAAGAAAACAAATGATTGATAAAGAAAATTAAATGAACCTCCTTTGAAAACAGGATTATTCTGATGCGATCTGAGGCTACGTCCACACGTACACGGGTATTTTTGAAAACTGAGATTTTCCGTTTTAAAAAATAATCCCGTCCACACGTAAAGGCAGAAATGAAGGAAAACGCTGCTAGGAACATGCCAAAGCAGCAGGTGGCGCTATATTCCTAACCGTGTAGAAATGTTGGCCAATCAGAAGTCTAGAAGCCTCGGTGGGAAAAAGTAAACAAAGCTGGGGCATAGAAGCAGAACCGAGTCGTATGTGTGGAGGGACAGTAACTGTGTGTGTATATGTAAGCATTTAAACACTGCAGAGAGAACAATTAACAGTAACAGTATTGTAGAAATTCATTTCACCGAAACAATAACGTGGCGCACAGTGTGACGTCAAAAAATGCGCGCACCTTTGACGCTGCGTTTTCTCCGTTTTACCTAAATGCAAAAACGGAGTTTTCAAAAATATCCAACCTGGCTGGAGTTTTTAAAAATCTAAACGCCGTTTACGTGTGGACAAAAAGTGCAAACGCATAGAAAAATGTGCGTTTTCAAAAATACCCGGGTACGTGTGGACGTAGCCTGAGAGTCACCTTTGAGTCACAGCCCGCGCAGGAGCCCACGAGGAGACGGACTCACCGTAAGAATCATCTCCGTTTAATCTCATCCCAGCATAAAACCGTTTAAGAGTTAGAAAGCGCGACTTTAACAGCTGTTCAGCCGCAAACACGCACCGCACGGCTCTGGCAGAAATCACATCTTCCTCACACTATCGATCGGTCCGGAATTACGAACTAACGAGTACTTCAAACTCTCCGCGTCCTGTTCTTACAGCTGACTGAGCAGTGTTATACCTGCAGGCGCTCCTGTCGACGACGACATCAGCACCGCACATGGATCACACGGTGACAAATATGCACAAAGCAGCAGACACAGAACTGTGTAAGAGAGAGGAGCTGACCTGGGAGCGTAAAGGAGCGGTTGAAAATTTGGTAGAGAAGAACTTTAATTCCGCATAAGTACAGTTTGAAGAGAGGCACCAGCACCGACTGAAGAGACATCCTTCTGCTTCCCACACCGAAACGCTTCCGAGTCCGAGTGTGCTCCCGTTAATGAGTCCGAGTGGACGCCTCACTGGGATAAGTCTGTCAGTGGTTCCGCCCTCTTTGCGTCAAAACCTCTTGAGGGCGGAACCAAAGAGCTGAAACGCATTTTCTCCGCTAAAGCTGTGAACACTGTTTACTTTGAACAGCCACATCAATGCGTCTGCTGTCGTCATGTCAACAATAATAACAGTGCTTTGTAGTTTCTGAGGAAGAGGCTGTGAGCTGTTTGATGGCCTTATTCAGACGTTATATTTATTGGGCCATAGCAGCGGGGTTAGGGGCAGATGAGGTGCAGACCCGCCACATGTCTATTGATCAACATTAACAACAATGAAAATAGAATACAAAATAAAACAATAGATCCCAGTGGGGGGACGGGGTACCATGACACAGAGCCTCTGAAGCACAGTGTGGTTTGTTTTTTGTCACATGCACTGGAGCGTCACAGACGTCACTACTAATGACTACACATCAGCTAAATGTCAAAGTCATATTTTCCACCAGCTTAACCAAACTCGCCAAACTAACTGAAATTTCTATTCTAGGCAGACATTAACCAGCAGCTGGAAGAAATACAGACAATAAAAACATGTCAAACTTGTTGTATGAGTGAGATATTTTCTGTTGTTGCTGAGGGAGCTTTACAGTGACACGAGACTGTAATCTATCACATGATCGTTTGGACTGAAACATCCTTCTGAATGATTCAATTCTATACAGTTTTATTTAAATAGCACCAAATCACAACAACAGTCACCTCAAGGTGCTTTATATTTGTGCGGCTGGATATTCCCAAAAGAGGAATGCAGCAAATCTGTCATTAGTCTCACACTCGGTGAGATTATGTGGGTAAAACCCAAATCTGCAGAAACATTTCCCTCTTTGTCTTACAGTGTAATGAGTGATTTTCCAGTCTATGGTCACATGCTTAATTCACTAAAATTAAATGAGTAACACTGCTCCTTTGATAAATGCGTTTTCAAAAAGCTCTGGCTGTAACTCCACCTCTCTACATACTTTTGCTAACAAACAGACATTTTCTGGTCTTCAGCAGATTCATTCTCCACATCTTTGGCTGTAGTTCAGCAGGTCGCCTATTAATCACACGGTTGGTGTTTAGCCTACCACCTACACCACAATAAAACTGAAATGGCTATTCAGTAGTGATGGCCTAATGAAGCGTTGAAGCTTGAGTTAAGTTTTCAATACAGTCTGCTTTGGTGCCGTCATATTGGCAAAAACATGAAACGCAGCTTGAATCTATGAACTGCCCGCCCTCAGAGCTCAGTTGTTCTGTTTGATGTAAGGTGACCGATCTGAGTGATCATTGAACGTGTCTTTGATTGAACAATGATGTGACGTCCACTCGACTAATGAATCATTTTAAAGAAGAAACCTTCCTTGTTTGATCAGGTGTCACGCTGTGTTCTCCCTTTGCTTGATGACATTTGTAAAGATGACAGATAAATAAAACATTACATATATTACAGTACAAGACGCTGTTATAATAGGCTGGGAGTAATGCTTGTGCTGTGAGGACCTTATAATTGTGACAGTTACATTTATATATAACATATTACAGCTTATTTAGTCGGTTTCTTCTTTATGTTTGTGACCTGGGAGCAGAATTGCTTATGAACTTATAAACGTTCATAGAATTTATTTTTTAAATTCTAATTATAATCAGCTTCAATCTGAAGAAAAAGAAGGAAAATAAAATATATTTCTATTTTCTGTTGCCTACATTGTAAAATATGTACAGTCAGGAGGGATTCAGCAGGCTGGGGTTGTCTCAGTGTGGGGAAACAAATCATAACAGAGCTCCAGTAGATTTGTTTTAGTGTACAGGCTGTGATCAGCTGACCTGCTGCTCTCTGTGGATGTACACAGCTGAATTCAACCAGATGTGAGCAGATGTTTCATAAGCGGCCCTGGCTTCATCCTTTACACTGACTGTTTACGCTGTCTTTATATTAGACACTATACAGTTGGTGTGAAGGTGGAATTCAGTCAATGGATCTCAGCATCATCAGCTACAATGTATATGAATCTCTGCTACACTTGATGTAACCTAACTGTGACGATGAAACCACAGCCACTGTGCACCAGTCACACACTGTTCTTTACTTTAAATCCATCACAGTGCAGCAAACTAACCTGTTTATCCTGCACTAACCTGCAGAGGATTTTCATGCAGCCTTTAAAAAACTGTTATTCTACCTCAGTTTGTTTAGCAGCAGGTTTCACAATATAAAAAAACATAACGTCACGTGTACAGACCCAAGAGCTGATTTAAAAACATGACGACTTACATGTGAGCTTTACATTTCCAGTTTGTCAAAGACTCCTGATCATCCTTCCCTTTAAATCTAAGCTCTCTTCTTCCTCTCCTGTCTTTCTTATCTTTCTCTGAGTGAGGTTAGCTCTTTCTCTTCTCTCCCTGTGAAATAAGCAGCTGGACACAAACAGTTTGTGTTCGCTGTTTGTTGAGCTGATAGAAACGTTGCATCTGAAATTACTTGCCACTTAAAAAAAGTCACTCCCTTTATGGTCGCACCTAAGGTGGGTGTCATCTGCATAGCAGTGTAAATGTATGCTATGTCTTCTAATGATGCTGCCTAGGGGAAGCATGTATAATGTAAACAGAATTGGTCCTAGCACTGAACCCTGTGGAACTCCATAATTA